AATAGTAATCTTCAACTGTAGATGCTGAAGCTGAAGAAGAAGACGTTGATGATTTCTTCTTGGAGTTAGGTATCTGGCCTGGTGTTGTTCCCATTCTCCCCTCTGTTGTGGTGTCGTAAGATATGATTTCCCATTTGGTTCATAATTTCGGAGATAGGGAGAATGGTCAAAATCTAGGTCCAACGGTGTAGTCTCGTATTGTGGGGGGGGGGGTGATAGGTGACATTCCATAGCTCGATGTAGTAAGCGTGCTTCGTCGCCCAATTTTCGGTATGTTTCCCACGCGTATCAATTCTATGGAGCACACCCATCTCAACGATTTGTGTAGGAATTGACTAATTCGACGCATACTGTCACAATACTCTATCAGCAGCGTGTCACTCAAAAATCAAAAAAATATAATAACGGTGTCGCGACACACCATAAATTAGACCCTTAAAAAGTTGCAGTGCCAATAATTGGTAGATCTAGTCGTCAGCATACAGAAGCCAAGAAAACTGTAAATATTAAATATCAAACTTAATATATATAAAGTTTAATTTTTTTTAAAAAATAATAAAAGAACAAATGTATATCGCATCGGCGATGTCGATCATCATCCGTATATCTTTTGCAGTGGCACCCGACAACTTTGTCTTGGTTATTTTATGGCGCTATCTAAAATATTTTAAATAGAAAAAGATTGAAAACAGATAAAAAAATTAATTAAGTTAAACAAATTAAAAAAAAAGTTTAAAAAATTACCTTCCAGCGATAGAAAACTCAACCGGGGTTGTTGTAATCGGCGTAAAAAAGGGACCGTACCATGCCCAGAATTCTAGCAATATTAGACAACCTGCTACATCGGCTTTTCGACCCCGCTCGACAATTGTAGCCTTGTAAAGCTCCCGGTACAGAAAAGCTAAAATCATCGAGCCCCAACTAGTATTCGACACTCAACAAAGTCATTTAATATTCGAATATACTGAGTGTGCACCAAATTACAAGATATATCTGGTAATAATACCCTTCTGGTCAGTTGGAGAATATATGCTTGAGACGCACAAATAACCTCATCCTCAGTAGAGTTGGTCGTCACTTGGAATTCGAACTCCAACCTCGATAGCCATCGATGAACTCGGATGGTGTCAACTTTCCCGAAACTTGGTAGACCAACGTCGTTGGGTCGTAATTGTTCCGCCTCACCACAGGGGCTTCATTCACAGGAACACCGAGTTGGTAAGCGACATTTTCCAAAGTAATCGTTGCTTCACCACTCGAGAAATGGAAAGTGTTCATCTCGGGCCACCAACATTTGATCAGAGGCTCAATCATCAACAGGTACACTATGAAGCCAGGTACAAATATGGCTGGAAATAGACTAGATTGATGATGATATATCAATATCCGCTAATGCGGATCTCTCGAAGTTATCCATCGCTGACGAATACTCCGTTCTTCTTCCAACCGGAGTTCGATCGACAAAATTTGGACTTTGTCGAGGCACAACATGTTTGCTCGAGAAGCCATTTTTCGGGATTTTCACAAAAATAAGATTTTCACATTTTTTTTGGATTTAGGTTTTGATGAAAAATAAAAACTCTAAAACCTTATTTATAGCCCCAATTCCAACGACTATAATGCAAAAAAATGGTGGAACTCATCATCTATAGGTGACGAGTTCCAAGTGACCGTAGCAGCTACTCGTTGACCAACGACTAGTTTTTTGAATTCGAAGAATCGAGGTGACGAGTTCCCTTTTGTTTAGTTTCTAATTTTAATTTTTTTAATAATAATTTTTTAATGATCTTGTCTTGTTGAGGTGACGAGTCAACTTAAAAATAATAAATTAATGACCCATATGAGACCCACTCATCCGAGTCTATTAAAAAATCATATTTCAAGGAGCTTGTTACCTCGAGGTGACGAGTTCTCCCGACACTATAGCAAATGTCGTAGATTCCTTATTAAAAATTCTTTTATAAATTTAATATTTTTTCAAAAAACAAATTAACACAATTTTAAAATAATTTTGATATTCTTAAATATAAACGGACACATTAATCATTTTCATCCACTTAAAAAAAATTCTTCATACTATTTTTTAATTTTGACACTTTATAAATATTTTTTTAATTTGATTTTTCAAAATAATTATTCTAGCTCCGCCCAACAAAAAAACAATGTTAATTATCAAATAAATGCTACTAAATTAAGCTACTAGAATCTTAGAGCTTAAATAAATTTTTAATTTTTTTAATATTTTAATCTTAAACTTTTGAGAGTGTAATTTAGACTCGATTATAACTTAAATGACTTCAACATTTCACCAATAGTCTTATTCTGAATTTAATTTTATAATCAGACCGAATATTTGAAATTATTTCTTAAAATTATTTTAAAATTTACAATTTAATTCCTAAAGAGTTTGTTTTTTCAATTCAGTTAGAACTAAAAACTCCGTTTTTACCTAAAATGTTTCACTACTATTGCAGATGTTTATAAACACATTGATAAGATTAGATTAAGATTTTCAAATTAATAATGAAAAATGAAGCATAAAATGATAATTTTGCCCTTGATTTAAATTTGGTTAATTTAAGAGTAAAGTATACAAATGGCCCCGAATATATAGGGGTATTTTGTTGAGTTTCTCGACTATTAAAAATTATAAAATGATCCATCAATTATAGGACATTGTTTTGTTGAGTTCCAGACTGTTAAAAATTACATAATGATCATCTGACTATTCATATATTCCAAACTCTTCATTTTTCGTAGAAAAATTGACAATCGTATGAGCTGAACGTTAACATGTTGTTTGAGATATGATAAAATCATATATTATTGATGCATACCAACACTGCTAGTTTTTTCAAGCATCGGTTCAACGACATAATTTTTCCAGTACTAGATCGATGACATAATATAAACGAAGAGTCAATCCATAAAATACTGCTCAAATGATTATGCGATTAGATTTTATCATATCTTAGTCAATAGGTTAACGTACAACTCATACGACTGTCAATATTTTAACGCGATGACTAGTTTTGAAACATATGAATAACTGGATGATCATTCTATAACTTTTAATAGTCAGAGACTCAACAAAGTAGTACCCTATAATCGATGATCATTTTATAATTTTTAATAATCGATGAACTCATCAAAATAAACTTTTAATAATCGATGGACTCAATAAAATATCCTCTTATAGTGAAGGGATAATTTGTACTTTAGCCTTAATTTAATTATTTAGATATGCATGATTATTTGAGGATGATTTGTAATATTGGTATTTTGCTATTACTTGCATACTAATTTAAAGAAAAAGTCGATGCGTGATAATAGATTGATTTTTATTCTGAATCCCTCTAGTGGTTAATATGTCATTTTAAATTTGAGTTGAATCGTCTTTATCATATTTACGGTATCATAATTATACTATTAATTTTAAATAAAATAATAAAAATACTTAATTAATATAATATAACTTTTAATTTTAAAAATATATAAAATATATTCTTAAGTCTTTCTTAATAATCAATATATAGTTTACACTTTTATATAAATAAATAGATTAATACCAAAATAAGTGCCCAAATTATACCGCTTTTCTTAAATAGGCGCCTAAATATTTTTTGACTCATCCAGGCGCCTAATGTTACAAACGTTACCTATTTAGGTGTTCGAACCTTCAACAGTGATAATTTCCCCCGTTAAGTAACACCTGTCACAATCTGGTAAATTTAAAATTTTTATTTAAATTTAAAAAATCAATATATATATTTTTTAAAAAGAAAAAACAAATTTTGAAATAAATACAAAACTTTGAAAACCTTCATTTCAATCCCTAAATCTATGTCGACCGTCGTTCTTTACCGTCAACGAAGCTCCACCCGACCTTCCCTCCCTATGGCGACCAAAGCCCCAATGAAATTGTGACCGATCGACGACGAATCAACGACTATACCCCGCAAACCCTAAATTAAAAATCATGATCCTACACAATTTCGACGTCTAATCGACGACATCGTATGACTAGAAGGATGACAAGGATTACGTCAGTGGCAATGGTCGTGGCCGGAAAGGGCGGCGACGATGGGTTAAAGTTAGAATTTGGGGATTTTAGGGATTTGGGGCTTTTTTATAATTCAAGAGAAATTAAGTTTTTATATAAATATAATACTATTTTTTTAAAAATAAATTTTAAAATACTAAATTGTGACGCATGTTACTTAACCGGTAAAATTAACGCCGTTGACGGCTTAAATACCTAAATGAGTAATATTTGTAACTTTAAAAACTTAGATAAATCAAAAAATAATTTAAATATTTAAAAAAAATATAATTTAAACACTTATTTTAATATTAAAACTAAATAGAGAGATAATACAAAATACATCTACACGTGTTAGATAGTGACCAATCCTTTATTGAATTTGTCTCATCAGAAAATGCAAAGATTTTGGCTGCCATGAGTCTTTTGAGGGACCCCATACTGCAGCCTATCACATTCTCCCTCTCCCTCTCCCTCTCCCTCTCCCTTGCCTTTATAACCTTTCTTTCTATTCTTTTTCTCTTAGACCATCTATCTTTCTTTGATTATATTAGTAAATGGAGAACAAAATGCAGGAAAAGGGGATTAGACCCTTTTGTCGCCATGAAAAAGGTTGTTTTAGCAACTGAAAAGGCTGGTCTTAGGTGAAAGAATGCTCTCTTTTGCCCAATTTGACTTGAACCAAGTTGTTTTGAGCAGTCACTTTTGGTTTTCCTTTGCTTAGATGAAAATAAGATTCTCCCAAAAGCTGAACTGTCAATTTTCCGTGATGCATTTGCAGAATTCTCCTAAACTGTACTATAAATTTATGGTTCTTTTTCCCACTTTTTCACCCATTACAGAGTGGATCGTTTCCCTATGACAAGGTACCTACTGTAAGTCTGGTCCTTTTCTCTCTTTCTGCTCTCTTCTGATTTCTGATACTTATTTGCTCTACTCTTCCCACCCTTGCAACAAATTCACTCCATTTTCAATCCCCGCAATGAACAAAAGCAAGATTCATCGGCCTGGATTCCCTACTTCAAAGGGTTTAGGCAGCTTTGGTGATGCCAATTGCATGGAACAACTTTTAGTGCACTGCGCAAACGCTATCGAAAGCAACGACGCCACTCTAGCGCAGCAGATTCTTTGGGTTCTCAACAACATCGCACTACCAGATGGTGATTCCAACCAGCGGTTAACATGTGCTTTCCTTCGAGCTCTCATCGTCCGAGCAGCAAAAAATGGCACCTGCAAAATGCTTGCAGCGATGGCCAACACTCATCGCAACCTCTCTGTAGACATCCACACTTTCTCAATCATCGAGCTGGCTAGCTTCGTCGACTTAACCCCGCGGCATCGGTTCGGTTTCACAGCGGCGAATGCAGCCATACTAGAAGCTGTTGAAGGGTATTCGGTCGTTCATATAGTTGATTTAAGCTTGACACATTGCATGCAAATCCCTACATTGATCGATGCCATAGCCAATAGGCTCGAAGGACCTCCACTAGTGAAACTCACAGTTGCCGGTGGCGCAGCTGAAGATGTCTCACCGATGCTTGATCTTTCATACGAAGAGTTAGGCTCCAAATTGGTTAACTTCGCTAGGTCCCGCAACGTCATACTGGAATTCAGAGCGATACCTTCGAGTTACGTCGATGGATTCTTTTCTTTGATCGAGCAGCTTCGAGTTCAACATTTAGTATATGCAGAGAGCGGTGAGGCTCTAGTTATAAACTGTCATATGATGCTTCATTATATACCAGAAGAAACTTTGCCTCCTCTTTCTGATATAAATTCAAACCCTTATTCATTTGAATCATATTTTTCCGGTACTCAATCTCTTCGAACCATGTTTCTAAAGGCGCTTCGAGTGTTAGACCCAACAATTGTTGTACTAGTCGATGAGGATGCGGACTTGACATCGAATAATTTGGTGTGTAGATTAAGGTCTGCTTTCAATTATCTATGGATACCCTACGATACGGTGGACAAGTTTCTTCCACAAGGGAACAAGCAGAGGCAGTGGTACGAGGCTGACATTTGTTGGAAGATAGAGAATGTGATAGCTCATGAAGGTCTGCAAAGGGTCGAGAGGCTCGAACCAAAGAGCCGGTGGGTGCAGCGGATGCGAAACGCCGGGTTTCGCGGGGTTAAATTCGGTGAAGACGCCATCTCCGAAGTGAAAACAATGCTTGATGAACATGCAGCTGGATGGGGATTGAGGAAAGAAGATGATGATCTTCTACTTACTTGGAAAGGACATAATGTTGTATTTGCCACAGCTTGGGTGCCCGCTTGAAGCTCATTTTTTTCTTCTTCATGAAATTATAATTTGAATTTTCTTGTATTAATTGATATCTAATTTTGCTAGCATTTGATTACTAGGTAGCTTGTAGTAATACTATTATTTTTCTTTTAAGAATTTGTGCGGGAGTTTATATTTGTGTTGCTTACTTAAGCCTCTATTTGAAATTTACCTGTTAATCTGAATATGATAGGTTGAGGTATTCTTATCAAATTGTTTGATAAAAATTTCATATATGACCTTTTCTTATCTTAATAACCTTAGAATATATATATTGGAATAAGATAATTAAACGTGTTGATCATGTTTCTTTATTGTTGCCGGTATTAGAAATAAGGGTTGGAAGGGCATCATATCAGAACGAATATTTGATCGAATTGAATTAAATTAAATTATTTTTTTAAATTAATCAAATTGATAAATTTTATTTTATAACATCAAGGTAAATTGAATGTTCATGGTATAATATATATATTATTGATGAATTTAAGCCTGTCAAATCATCGAAGCAAACTGGAGTATAACTTGTTTATTAATCATTATTACGATTGAATTCACCTTAATGTACGATTGTTGTATCATAATCACAGTGGAATATAATACCTGATGTATAGTGCTTTCATATATATTAGTCTTATTTATTGTAATTGTATGAGTAGGGTTACGTATGATGATTTGAAATTAGGGGTGAGTGTTTAATCGAGTTGAGTTGAGTTAAGTAATTTTTTTTGAATAATCTAAGTTAACAAATCTTATTTTACAACTTAAAATTGATTTGAAATTTTTTCGAGTGAGTTTATAAAATTCGATTTAATTTAAATTGAGTAAAAATTTTAAGTTACTTTTTAAGGTTTTTTTTATAACAAGAGAAAACAAACTAAACTAACTACTCAGAGCCTGGATTCCTCAAGCACAGCTGCAGCTATCTCCAGCGGAATGTCTCAGGAAAGACAGGTTAATATACGACTAATATACGGCGTTACCGGATACATTAAAAGATATTTAACAAATTCGGTTTAGCGCTACCGTAAATGTTGTCTAATAATAATGTAGTAGGTCTAAGTCATGAAGAAATATTAAAAAATTGTGCAACCGGCAAACTTAACTTGCCTGTTCGTGTCGATCCAAATTAAAAATGTGTCGGTCCAAAACGATATAACAGGTAAAACTATGACAAAACCAGTATTGAAATGATAAAACCGGTAAAGCGCTACCGGATACATTTAAAGTGTCGGTACTTTAATATAAGGAGCGACACTTCGTGAATTTAAAAGAGAAGCAATTTTAAATCCTATAAAGTGTCGATACTTTTAAAAAATGTATCGATCCAAAACGATATACCAGGTAAAAATATAATAAAACAGGTAACAAAATGATAAAACCGGTAAAACGTTACCAGATATATTGAAAGTGTCGATACTTTATATAAGGATCGACACTTTGTGAATTTAAAAGAGAAGCAGTTTTAGCGCCTATAATGTGTCGATATTTTAAAAAAATATATCGATCCACAATTATATAACATGTAAAAATATGATAAAACCGGTATCAAAATGATTAAACCGGTAAAATGATATCGGATATATTGAAAGTATCGATACTTTCGTAAGTACGTGTAATAAATTATCGACACTTTCAAAGAAATAGGTAATTATCCTTTCGAAAGTATCGACACCTGACATAAAAGTATCGACACTTTTGTATTTGTATCGATTAAATATAAATAACATATCTAATGAAAATATAAAGGTCATAGCTAAATATCCTCTGAAAATAGATAGAACGGACGAGTTTTTGAAATCGAAGCGTAATTGTTGCTGCATTTCAGAAGGCGTTTCTAAAGCGAAGTTTGTTTGTTTGTTGCTGCAGTCGAATCGAAAAGTATGTTGCCGAAACCCTAATTTTTTATTATTACAGTAATCGCGATAGGGTTTTTATGTGTTGTTTTGGGTTTTGGAGTAAAGAAGCATTTGAGACCGATTGCAGGTAGAAAGTGATATTCAAGGAAAAATATAAATGTCGATACTTTTATTAAATATTATATGTAGAAAATGATATTATAGGTTGTATAAATGTGCCGACACATTTTGGTGTGGCCATTCAAATTCTTTTGAAGAAAACCGTTTTACCACAAGAGTAGTTATTTATATTTGTATATTGAATAAAGTGTATGTAACAAAATAATTTGATTTGCGTAAACTGATATATGAAGGAAAAATGGAGTCAATGGGTTGGAAAATTGTTGGTGGAGCAGATGACTTTGAAATTGAGGCCGAGACTCGAAAGCAACCAAAGGGTAGATATATGTACTTCTAGTAAGTATTAATGTCTTTTTGTTATTATTGTTGAAATGGTAATTGGATTAAAGTATCGATAAACTTTAAATTGATTACAAATTTTTAATGTTGACAGTATGGCCGAATGCAAAAGGATGAAGGAAGATGGCACACAGAGCGGTTCGGTATGTAAAATGAAATTGACATTGAGTAGTATTTAGTGTTAATGTATTAATTAAGAAACGTTTATGTTTAATATTAGGTGACAAAAGATGTGAGGTCCAAATGGAATTCAATGAGTGATGCTGAAAAGGAACCTTACATCACACAGTCAAGGAATGATAGTAAAGAATACAAAGAACGGAGGAAAGCACATGAAAATAAGGTATTCATTAAACTTGTAAATATGTTGATACAAAATATATAAGAACTATAACATTATATATTGTTAAAAAATATAGGAAGTGTCGACAAGATGCAGTATTAAAAGGGTGAATTCATTAATTAAACACCTTAAGGAGAAGGGTCAGTTGAATGTGCTGGGAGAAATAGGTTTTGGATCGTTGGTAGGAGTAAGGGATTGACCTATTCGGAGGGAATTGTGTCGATCCTTGATGGCGCAATTTGATGTCAGACAATGTATTGCTAAGTATGGTGATTTTTCATTTTCTCTCGGGATCCCATGTGCTGCAGCCGTATTGGGGGTAGAAAATGAAGGCAAAAGTGTTGTAGAAGTCTGTAAGCGTTTATATAATGTAATAGGTAGTGCTTATATTGTAAAGTATCTATCTTTTTTATAAAAGTGTCCATACTTTTTTCACTGTGGAAAACATTAATTTAAGGTTATCTTTTGAGAGAGTTTTAAGATATTAATTTAGTAATTATAGGCGTCTAATGATTTATTTTTTACGTTACGATATATATTATTATTAAATTAAAAACAATAAACATATATATTACATATTTATTATTATCTTTGGTTAATATTGTTAAATTTAAATTCTAAATATTATTTTATAAAATATCAAAACAATCAAATAATTTATTGTGCAAATGAAATTATTAAATTAATATTGTAGGTGGAAAACATGAAACACTATTAAAAAAATTGAAACATAAATTACATAACTTTAAAAAAAGTATCGATCCTTTTTATAAAAAGTATAGACACTTTTAATATAATAGGTAAAAATATGATGTAATAGGTAGCGTTAATATAATGTAATAGATAGCGTTTATATAATGTAATAGGTAGTGCTTATATTGTAAAGTATCTATCTTTTTTATAAAAGTGTCCATACTTTTTTCACTGTGGAAAACATTAATTTAAGGTTATCTTTTGAGTGAGTTTTAAGATATTAATTTAGTAATTATAGGCGTCTAATGATTTATTTTTTACGTTACGATGTATATTATTATTAAATTAAAAACAATAAACATATATATTACATATTTATTATTATCTTTGGTTAATATTGTTAAATTTAAATTCTAAATATTATTTTATAAAATATCAAAACAATCAAATAATTTTTTGTGCAAATGAAATTATTAAATTAATATTGTAGGTGGAAAACATGAAACACTATTAAAAAATTGAAACATAAATTACATAACTTTAAAAAAGTATCGATCTTTTTTTATAAAAAAGTATAGACACTTTCAACATATTATAATGTAATAGGTAAATTTGCAATGCTATCGGTATAAATATACCGGTTTACTTATAAAATAGGTCAATATAAGCGCTACCTATTACATTATATAAGCGCTACCTAGTATGTTATTGTACTTTATAATATTTCCGGTTAAATAATATAACATAACCGATCTAAATTTTAACCGGTCACTTGTTTAACCGGTCACGCCGTATATTAGCCGTTTTTTAGGCGCCGCACCGCAGGTGGCTCGATAAACCTGTAACAACGTGCTTCCCCAGATGGGCTTAATTTGGCCATGCCGTCCGCTGTCCTATTCCTTTCACGATTTACGTGGACTGATATTATTTTTTTATGATATTATTTGATTCTAATTTAAATTATTTTTTATAATCATATATTTTTTTATTTTTTATATATGATATATATATACCAGACAAAGTTAAGAGACTCAACTCAAATTTGAAAATCAATCCAATTATTATTAAAATTTTTGAATTATTCAAGTTACTATTTGAGTTATTAGAGTTCTATTTTACAACTCGATTTGTACTTGAATTTTTTGGAGTCGAGTCAAGTTTATGAAATTACAACTCAAAGTTCATTCGAATAAAAAAAATTTCTAATTAAATCGATTAAAAAATCAATTTTTCTAGTCAATTCGAATTTTACTTAAATCGATTAAAAAATTAATTTTTCTAGTCAAATCGAATTTTACTTACTCCTACATGAAATATACCATTCCCTATACGCTTGTTAAGTATGTTGAGCCCTAATAATTATTTAATGAATATATGCTTAAGGCCTACGTGTTGATGTTAGATTTGTATGGTTATGTTTATAAATTTCCTGAAATATAGTAGAGTAGATGTATACCATTAATTTTTATAAATTCATCTTTCAAACAACTTTCATACACATGTTATAGGTTTTTTAGTTCGTGATGGCATACCAACATTATTAGAGGAGTCTTAGTAAGATCACCCAAATATAATAAATAATTATTTAAATGATCATGTAAAGTTTAAATTTTAATTTATTGAGGTCGATGACGAATCTCTCGTTGGTGCTTGTGGGTGGTCGTTATTGATCTTGATAAATCGATAT